GTGATAATAACCCATGCGTGTGAAGGTCATTGAAGGCCGATCTTCCAATTATCGTGTAGATGATTGTGATTGGTTAATTGTCGGGAAGTCAAATGTATGGCGAATGTGAGCAGACGTTAGGTGAGGCCTCGGCCACTAACAACGTCTGCGCAGGAGGCTAGACTTTACATTGCTTTTTAATTATTAATTATTACAAATAAAATTATAAATGCAAATTTCGCGTTCACAACAAATTAATTGGAAGCGCGGACTCACTATAAAAGAAAATATACTCACCTAAACATGCTTTACAAAAATTATGCAAACAAGGCAAGCTCTTGTTTCAATCAAAGTCTCTGAACACAATGCACATGTAAGTAGTTCGTTGATTTCATCAACAGAAACACTGTCTGATGAAGCACTTGCCATTTCAATGAAATCTTTCTTACTTTACAATTTAGATAACATATTTATGTCTTCTTTCTAGCGAAGTGTCGCATAAAACCTTGTTTGAAAATTTATATTCGCAGAAATCTTAATGCATTCTTGGAATCCGGAAACATAACACTCTCACCATAGATCTCACCCGCGATCAGGCTGGAAGCATTTGACCTCAATACATTGATGGAGTTACTTCCTCCTCTGCTTCCTCTAGTACTATAGTCAATACTTGGGTTTTCAATATGTTCTCATGTTTCAGTTTTTGTTGTACACCTTATTTCTTATATTTAGGGGCGGACCATTAGAAAAGTGATGGGGGGAGAAGAAAGCAAAAATAAAAATCGAGCAGGGGAAACAGAAAAAAAATAAATTCGTGCACCAGAAAAGTTTGAAAAAAAAATTTGTGCAGAGACTTCTCAATATGGAAAATTATAAGTTGACAAGGCCTATCAGAAGTACAGTGTAAGGGTGGCCCCCAAATTTGAAAAATAAAAGAAAAATAATTTGGAACGTTTTTTGATATAAGTAATGATGTGAGAAAAATGTGTTTTAAACCTTAACTAAACTGATGGTGGTCCGGAAAAATTTTTTTTGACCCCTTTTTTTTGTCCTAAAAAAATTTTTACGTCCTGAAAAAA